GTCACATTTAGAGAAGCCTAAAGCTTTGGCTACCTGCTTGCTGTTAGGTACTGTTGATGTGATTCCAACCCATATCTCCCCTATGTAGAGCCCAGCAAATACTGCCCAGTTCTTCACTACCTGCTCCGTTGTTCATTTGCGCTGCTGTTGCTGCAGTGTGTCAGTGCATCTCCTTGTCAGTCTTTCCTTTCTGAATGTCCCTCTGCATTACCAAGCATGCGGTCCTTTCCCAGACACCAGTCTCTACTGACAACATGTCCACCACATGCGAAAGGCACTGTCTTCATCCTTGCCTATAAGCAGATGGCTGTATGTCTTTCAAGAAAGGTTGCTTTGTTCTTCTGGCAGTGTACGGTGCCTTCAATATTTTCACCAACACCATCATTCAAATGCATTCATTCTTGTGTGGCCTTCCTTATTCATTGTCCCACTTTCACATGTGTATGAGGTGGTTGAAAATACCATGGCTTGCGTCAGGAGCACATTACTTCTCAAAGTGGCATCTCAAAGTGTGTTCCTCATCACTTTAGAGAGACCTTGTGTAGATTTGTCCAATGAAATCTGCCATCTGATTTCTTGATTGCTGCTTTTATGAGCATTGATTTTGAATCCAACCAAAAAGAACTCCTTGACAACTCCAGGCTCTTTGTATCATGCTGTTGATTACTGGTGTAGTGGTGAGGATCAAGCTTTTCTTTACTCTGAGTTATGGTCCATATTGAAGACTTCAGTCTTTGATCTTCCTTAATAAGGTCCTCCTCATTGAGGGCCTTAACCTCCTTCACTGCCCCTACTCATTGTCAGCACACATGTGGGATTAATTGAAGGGCGGAGAGAGAAATGTCTCGGTGAGCCTCGCCTTTCTAGTTCTCGGGTCTCTCTTGCTTTCTGATGGTCGGACCAGGGTGCAGCTGCCTTAGCCAGTTCCCTGCTTCAGCTGGCAAAGCCCACTTCCTGCAAGACAGCCCCATAGAGAAGCCACATGGACCTATCCTGATGCAGCCTTGGGTGCTGGAGCAGCCATGTGGAGACCCCTGCCAGCGCTGAGATGCTTACACGCTCACTGATTCAGCTTTCCTCCTGCAGTTGGCATCACAGTGTGTGTTTTGTGAGATGGAGGAGGACTTTGTAGATTGGTGTCGGACATATGGGCTAATGTTGGACTTATGGTCTTGGGCAGCACTGGGTTGGGATGCTTTCTTAATGTACACTTACCCTTTATATAAAACTCTCTCTTATACATATGAGTTTCTGTGGATTTGTTTCCCTAGTTTACCCAGACTAACACACCTTCTTCCAATCCTGATTCCTTGTTCTTCCTCTTATAGTCCAGATTTTTGGATTATTTTCTCATCATACAGATTGAATACGTATTGTGAAAGGATATAATCCCAATGTACACCTTTTCTGCTTTTGAGCCATGCAGTATTTCCTTGTTTTGTTCATATGACTACCTCTCATATTCCACATGTACATAATGAAGTGTTCTGGATTTCCAATTCTTTTCAATATTATCCCTTTTGTTATGATACACAGTTAAATGCCTTTCCATAGTTAATTAAACACAGGTAAAACATCTTTCTACTTTAAGCCAAGAACCATTTGATGCCAGTAATGATAACCCTTGTTGTAAGTTCTCTTCTGAAACCAGCTTGAATTTCTGGCAGCTTCCTTTCAGTGCACTCCTCCAACTGTTGTTGAATGATTTGAGCAAGATTTCACTTGCATCGATATTAATGATATTGTTGGCTAATTCCATCGTTCTGTTGGGCCACCTTTCTTTGGAATAGGTACAAATATGGATCGCTTTCAATTGATTGGCCAGATCTCTGTGTTCCAATTTCCGTGGTATAGCTGAATGGGTTCTTCCCAGTACTTCATCAGCTTGTTGAAACATTTCAGTTGGTATTCCGTTAGTTCCTGGATCCTTGTTTTTTTGCGAATGCCTTCAGTGAAGCTTGGATTTCTTCCTTCAACGCCATTGGTTCTTGATGATAAGCTACCTTGAGAAATGGTTGTTGGTTGGTCAGTTGTTTTGGGTACAGTGACCCTGTATTCCTTTGCTCATTGTTTCTTGTCACCTGCAGAAGTCGACATTTTATCAATATTATTATGCGAGCTTGACTTTTTTCTTCACTTCTTTTCACTTAATATATTATGAGTGCTTTCTTCCTTTTTGACTTCCTAATTCCAGGTTAGAGACTGGAAGCTACCTATTCGGTATCATTAATTTCCCCAGTACAAGTCCAGTTTATCCAAAGAGGTCATTCGTGCCGTGAATAGTACAGACAGAGGACCCAGATGGCATTCCAACTTCCACCAAGTGACCAGGTTGATTGTTGTTGTAGACAATTAATTAATGGCAAATTCTCCACAAAAGGGAAAGAAATTTATATCTTTTGCCCATCCATAGACTGTGAACTCAATACAAATTAGTAGAGGATAAGGGCATACTTATGCATGTGAAAATAATCTGGTGAAGGGTTTTAAAATGTATTTAAGAGGAAATAAAATACCGAGAATGTTGCGAAGGCAGAATTATAAAGTCCATCATTTAGTCTTTATTTTGTGTTTTTTCAGTTAAAATAATCCTAAAGAGTGAAAGCTTGCTCATTAGAAAGTGTTGCGCCATGGTTGGCATTCTAGTTGATGTATCGTGAATACTTACTACATGACATGTGAGCAGAAGGGGGATTGGGGTCTTCTGCTGTTCAAAGGAAAACAGAACAGACTCACTCAGACAAACCTCTCACCATAGTCATCAGACAATTCTACTTCTCAGACTTCGGAACTCAGACTAATTGACTTTGATACTTTGAGCTTTCATGGTCTCCTAGGAATGTAATCTTTTTCTTTTTAAATTATTTTATTGGGGGCTCGTACAATTCTCATCACAATCCACACATACATCCATTGTGTCAAGCACATATGCACATTTGTTGCCCTCATCATTCTCAAAACATTTGCCTCCCACTCTAGCCCCTAATATCAGTTGCTCCTTTTTTCCCTCCCTCCCAACTCCCCCCTCCCTCATGAACCCTTCGTAGTTCATAAATTATTATAGTTTTGTCATAAGTTACCCTGTCCGATGTATTGCCTCCTCCCTGGGGGATGGACAACAGAGAAGAGGGCGGAGGGAAACATCGGGAAACATAGGAATGTAATCTTAATACACATGCCAGTAGGATTAAGAGGACTGAATAAGGATTTTACGTTAAAAACAACTTGGCTTTCCCTGTGCTTGATTGCCTCAGTTAAATATAGTTCCTGAAGAAGGATATGAAATTACCAGTGCATTTCCCTCTGCTCTGGGACAGGCTGCCTCTGTTTCATAAACGTGCAGTTTTGGCTACTGAGAACAGGCAAGAGTTGTACTTAGAACAAACACACACCCAACCAATTCCAGAAAAGCTCTTCAAAATGTCTGCTCTCTTACAGACTAGCTGTGGGGTTAAGGAGAGGGAGGTCCCCCACAAATCATCACAGGTCTGGTAGGCGCAATTGTCCAGCGATAATAAGTAAAGATTATAGTAAAGTCATAGAAAGCATGAGAGTTAGAGGAGCGATTGGAATAATTGGAGTCAAGACACATTTCATGGTAGCATGCTCACCTCAGCCCTGCTTGGTGGTCCTTGTGGGGGGAACCCAGCCAGGAGAGCGGGGGAGCCCTCAGGAATGAACCGGGGAGAGCCTCTGGGCCCCTGGGAGCCAGAGAGAGCTTCCAGCAGCGAGGACCAGGGAGAGCCTTTTCTTTTTTGCTAACCAAGCGTTATATCACTTTAGGGGGTCCTGATTACAGAATCACATGTCACAGGAAGGGCAGTGCAATAGGCATACACATTGTAGGAAGGGGATCTATGATAGGCATAAGCGTAACAGGAAGGGGATGAACTAGGGGTGTGCCCATAGGAATAGGAAGGTCTAGGAGTATACATGTGACAAGATGGGCGGCCCCTAGATTCATGATGGCAGCCTAATCTTGGTCATCCTTGGGTGGGTTTGACCTCTCTGGTGTCTCCTACAAGGAAACAGACAACTACTATCCTTATCAGAAGGGAGTGGGCCCTACTTGTTGTGGGATAAACAGTGGTGTCTGCTTGGTCTAGATGGCTGATAACCCTTAGGGAGAATAACCCCTGATCTACTTCTGATGACCTCCAAGTGTACAGTCATTCTCAAGCAGCTAAGTCTGGCATATATTTGGGGGAGACAGCTTGACAGAAATCCTTCTGTTTCCCACAGCTAGCAAATATGATTTTGTCTTAATCTTTGTATGTTGACATCACAATTTATAATATCTCTCTAAATCCAGAAGTGAAAGATAGCTAGATAAAAATAAAAGTTCTACGTAAGTATTTTACTGAAAAAATAAATATTAAAGATATATTAAAGGAGACCTCTAATTGTAGTTATAAATAAAGTTATATTTTAATACTTATATCTAATTAAGGTAACCATAGGTATATTTCTTATTAAAGTATACATTTTAAAAGTTGACATGCCAATAAGTATACATTATAATTGTTACAACTAAACTTCAAAATTATATTTAAAAGGACAGTTAGGCATATGTTCAATTATTCTTTTACAAAACAATATTGTATTTAGTTAGTGAGGCATGTTTATTTAAATCAGTATAGGGAATGGAAATTAGCATATGTTAAACATTCTTGGTTTCCCATTTTCTAAATTAAAACAAATCTGGACTGAGTGAATGAATAAAATGGTAAACTTACTTTGCACTAATTTTGTTTAATCCCTTTATTTTCTATTTCCTATGGATCATTTAACAGCCTTTATAAATGGAAGAGATACAAATATTAGCTTTGAATATAACTGCCTTTTCACATTGTAAATGTTGATATGTTTTCAGTGAAATTGCCTTTGTTACCTCCAAGTAGAAATAAAATTGCCCAATCTGATTTTACTCTTGAGCACAGAAAACAAAAGTTCGTAACTGCCTGTGAACCTATGATGAGAATATCAATGATCTTTTGCAGCTTTTGCCAGCAAGAGAAGCTGCCATTGACTTTCCAGTCCTGTGTGGTCCCCAAAGAGTGCCAGGTGTCCGAGTGGTCAGAGTGGAGCCCATGCTCAAAAACATGCTATGATATGACCTCACCAAAAGGCACACGTGGAAGGACACGAAGCATCAGGCAGTTTCCTATTGGCAGCGAAAAGGAGTGTCCAGAGCTTGAAGAAACAGAACCCTGTGTTTCCCAGGGCGATGGCGTTGAACCCTGTGCCATGTGAGTAAATGAGGAGACTGCAGTCTCCTGGGCAGCCTCTCCCCGGGCTGCAGATTCCTCCAGCTGTTTCACTTCAACTGAACAGTGGGTTGAGAAATAGTGACTTGAAGTACAAAAGTGAACCAGGACTTTATAATTACTATCGTAAAAGAAATATTGTATTGGCAGGGGACAATTAAAAATTTCCATGAAGACTAGATTTTTAGTCGAAACTCTGTATACATATTTTCCTTAAGGGCTGGCAAATGTCTTTGGTAATGTGCCAAATATGCGCTGATGTGACAGTTCATTTCTGCTATCATAGCTATAGACAATATGTAAACAAATTAGTGTAGCTATATTCCAATAGAACTTTATTTACAAAAGAGTGATAGAGTTAATTGGCCCTTGGTTCATAGTTTGCCCATCGCCATTCTGTAAATACAGATTCTTGTTGTCCACTTGGCAAGTCATTGAAATTAAATACTGTACATCCCAAATTCTAATGTTGAATAGATTAACATACTGCTTCAAGATAATGAACTGTCAACTTTTTTATGACAAAGATTATGCTTATTATGTTATTATGGAGGGAGTACTTAAAAAGTATCAATTCTGGGACATTACCGTGAATTCTCTTAGCCCTAGCAATAATTTAAGCTTTTTTTGAGTATAGCTTACTTAAAAAGTAACTTTAAAAAATCTTATTCTCACAATAAATATGTATGCATGAGTTACTTTGAGAGCTTCTTGGGATCTACAAACATTGAAGAATTATGTGTACAGGTCATGAGCAGTGCAATCAAAATAAAAAATACAGTGTTAATCGACCAGAGCCCTTCCTTTGGGCAGCATTTTGGAACTGCTCATTCTCCTGATGTAACTGATGTAGCTACAAAGCCTCTCCTGCCCAACAGCGCTTTCTTGCCCACTGAGTTTTGTGTTCTTCACAGAATAAACTCAAGAAGTTGCTAGGATTCCACCGTATTTTCTTGACATTGCATTTCCTGGATTTTTTTCTCATACTAGCTGCTATATTATTTGCATATATTCAAGTACCCTTAACAAAATAAACATCCTTGAGTATCTGCCTCCTCCTTTTTAATGGGGGGGGGTAGGAAGTGATAGCAATTTACTTAGACTGTGTAACTACCTTACATATAGTGCTGCAAATGTAACCCTCTAACAGGATTCTTTAGGATGACCTAGATTAGGACTCTATTCTATTAAATTATATATATATTTCAAATGTTTGGTTTAACCCCTCTAGCTGCTGACTGGTTTGTTTGTTTTTTTTTTTGTTTCTTCTATCCCTAGGGATCAATTTCACACGTGGTTTTTTTGTTTATTTGTTTGTGTTTTGAGTTCACCTGACTGCTATCTTTCCAATACCAACAAGTGTTAGTAGTTGTTGTTCCTTGACAGCCATAAAACCCTGCTAAGTTAAAAAAGCAAACAAAACACTTATTTAACAAAAACAAAACCCCAGGCATTGAGGTCAGCTTTATTGTCTGTCCCATGGACAGAGTGAAGCATCGAGATCAGACCTCTGGGGACAGGCTTAACTGTCTTTCTCACTGAGAGGAGCATTAGCACCCCATTAGTCCCGGTGGTGAGGGTCCATCTGGCTACAAAAGAAGCCTGTTGATTAAAGTGACACAAAGTGCTGCAGTCAAATGCTCTAACCCGGAGCTACACCCCCTGAGCCCTTTTCTTTGTGCTTGTAGACTCTCTGCTGCTTCCCTTCAGGTGGAGAAATCCCATCCCTATCTCCAGTGGCATCAGGAAATGGTTCCCTGGCCATCTCTTTAAGTGTGTGTTGGGCTGGGGATTCTCTGACATCTCTCAAGCATCACGGTCTTGATTGGGGCTTGAATTTAGAAGCACAGATGTCTTTCCTGTGCTCCACTGATTCTAAATGTCAGCTCTTTTCGTCACTCATCAGGCATGCCCCCTGTACAGAAAAAAATATATGTACATGTTTTCTTGGTAAGAATATGCAAACTCTGAACTGGTCTGTCACTTATTTTTATTCCTCCTACAACATTGTAATTTTGATCTGGTTTGAAGAAGCAATATTCATATATTTTATTAATGCAAATGTTTATGTTAATCACTTACAATGTTTTCCATTCTTAAAATCAGCCTGCCTTCCCCCACCCCATTTGTTTATGAGCTTCAAGAAAGGGCAAGTATAGGTTTAGCCTTATTGAATATGAAATTTCATGTTTTCAGCATTATGCTTTCTTTCATTAAATATGCATAAGTAACTTCCCGCAGCCGCGATTAGCAGGGTAGCCCTGCTGGATGCCCCGATTAGCAGGGTAGCCCTGCTGGATGCCCCTTCTAAATGGAGCACTGCTAACTAAGGCTGAAAGAGGAGGGTTGGAACAGGTCTGCACCTCAGATGCTAGAGTAAGATCAATTGGAGGGGGAAAGGTCTCTTAGGTGAGTTTTATTTGTTTTTGTTTAAGAAAAAAGAACGAGAGTGGAGAAAAGTTACTTTTGTAGCTCAGTCCGGATGGTGGCCTTTTCTTTCCTAGCTATGGCTGGAGAACTGCCGAGTGGACCGAGTGTCGGGTGGACCCTTTGCTGAGCCAGCAGGATAAGAGGCGCGGAAACCACACTGCGCTGTGCGGTGGGGGCGTGCAGACCCGCGAAGTGTACTGTGTGCAGGCCAATGAAAACCTCCCCGCGCCTTTACACACTCGCAAGGACAAAGAAGGTAAGCGTGACTGTCTTCTGTAGGGCTCATTTACGGAGCCCGAACACAAAAAAACATTGGAGGTACACAATAATTAGGGGTGTGGTGAGCCTTTTCTTCTGATCACATTAAGGTGGGTGTATCTGATAGAAGAAGAATCCAATTCATGATTGTATAAACTTTACTACAACTTCATTTGCAGTCAGTTCTGCTATACTGACAAGTGTCTCGAAGTTTTCCGACTTAAATGCCTTCCTGCCTCAAACTACTAGTAAGAATTTAGCTGGAGTAATTAATTATTTTTCTAAAAGACTAAAATTTCATTTTCTAAGTGTACTCATACAAAGCAATCATGTATTTTAACCTTTTTATTCATATTGCAAATAACCAACATCTTATTTTTCTGTTTATAATGTGGTAGGAAAACAATTATGATATTGAATAACATTTCAATCGGAGGAAGTAAATACAGCATAATGAGATAGTAAAAGAATTAATATATTATGTAGTAAAGCAACATAATTTCAACTCTTAAATTAGGCATAATTGAATAAAAATATTGAACCAATATTCAGCTTTCTATTAATAATGTCCAAACATCAGAGGAACTAAGCCCAGAGGGATAACTTTTTTTTAAAGAAAATTGTTTTCTAGGTTGTCGAACATATATTAGAATCACTAGTCTTTTAAATCTCAGTTTGGGGATCAGAGACAGTAAATATACAGCAGGATAAAGGAATTCACAATAATCAGGAAATTTTAGCTTTTCAAGAATATAGAATTAGATTACACATTGGGCTGTGATCCGATAGTTGGAAGTTCGAAACCACCAGCAGCTCTGTGGAAGACCAAATGGGCTTTCTACTCCCATATACAATTATAGCTTCAGAAATCCACAGCAGGATTGCTATGAGTCAGCATTGACTTGATGGCAGTAAGATTAATAGTATTCCAAAACTCTTGCCATTAATGAATCCGATTTATTTGCATTGATAGGTACAAGCATACATGAACATAAATAAGAATACCTAAAATATAGCAGGACTTTTTCCTAATCACATCAACAGATACTAGATGGGCATCTGGGACAACAGAGTTTCAAAAATTGTACAAGGTAATGAGGACAGAATTACCAATACAACTTTCACGTCATGAAAGAGCTCACAGTCATGACATCAGATTAACAAACTAATAGTTCTAATACAAAATAGTGATCGTTACAACTGAGATTTGGAATGACAGTCTTGGGATCTTATTAAAAGAACCCATCTTGAAGAGGTAGTTCTTGAGCTGAGTGACAGAAAAAGTGAATCAGGAATCAAGAGTGAGTGGTAGATCATCTCTTAAGTCATATGACTGAAACACTGTCAGAGAAAAAAGCAAATCACTGGTAAAGATGGCATGTTGTACTTAACAAGTTTTTGATAGGTTAGTCTCTCCTAAAAAGTTATTGGTGGGAGAGGGTAAAGAACAAGTATAAAGACCCTCCTTGTTACCAACTGATGAAAGACCAGAGAGATCAGGGGAGGAAGCTGCATAAAAATTATCTAATAAGAACGGTTGTTGTAAAAACCAAGAGAAGAGCAAGCTCCTCCTCAACTCCGCCCTTTCTCCCTGCCCTCCCCACCACCACCACACAAAAAAAGCAGTAGCACAAGTGTCCAGTCATATGTGAGGTCATGGAAGATAAGCACTGAACATATGCACTCAAAGTTCTGCATTTTCAGCTTCCAAAGTTTAATTGTTCTACAACTGCTAACTTTACACAGCATGTCAGATGATTTAGGAATACAGCCTCAGGATCCATTTTACTACTAATGTGTCTTGGGTTGCCGGGAAGTTGCCTAAACCATGTAATGTTAGTACATTAATATTGTCTGGGCTGCTTTAATGGTTGCATTTTTAGTATTTGGTAGATTTATTATAGCAGCCCTTTCAGAACAATATAGTTTCATTGCTGTGGGTAGATCAGATTTTAGTTCTTGAATACCAATAGTGCCCTCTAGATTAGTACTTTCAAAAGATCTTTCAGAATTCTGAAATGTAACTGGACATTTAAAAATTATTTATTCATAAAGTCTCCCTTTCTCTAGCAAACCACTTCAGATCACCAAAAGTAAAAGTCACAGAAAGGAAGTGATACATAAAGAATATCATTATGAGGGATGTAGCGGATAGACTAAAGTAAATGCCAAAGTAAAGGTCAATAGATAAGGAAGTGATTAATTCATCTAAAATTAATATTTATCATGTAAATATGTCAAAGGAATAACTTAGGGAATTTGTCCTTTCATGTCAAGTATATCAAGAATACTAACAAGGCTATTATCATCTTTGCAGACAGCGGATTCTCTCTAAAAGTTGCATATTTTGTCCTGGGAATGTAGACTTGGAGCCTTTCCCCCCAGGAGCATTTCCCATTCCCAGCAGGACACTTGGCCAGCACAGCAGCCTGCCAGAGATGCATCTGATGGCTGTAAAGAAGGGTGGCTGGAGAGCAATTAGGCTGAGGGTTGTGAAAATTGTTCAGTTTATCTTTCTTCAAAAATATAGAAGACTGAAAGCAAAACAGCCTCTCCACAACTAATAAGAAATCACTAATCTCAAAAATCTCTGCCCCTGCTCTATAACCATGAACAAACCACCCCAAGACCCGCTCCACATGACTTTATTTAAAGAAGACATCTACATTGTTCTTTCTGCAGCTTTCCTCTGGCTCAACTGCTTGCACATGTAACCAAACTCTTTACAGTACCTAAAAATAAAGTACCTTAATGCCATTTTTTTATTGATGCAAAAATAGTAGAAGCCAGTGGTATGGAATTCATAGAAGATGTCATTATTATGTTAACACATTCTATTACACAAGTGATTGGTAATTACCACCGTAACACAAAGACCACAGGAACCACTTCACACCCAACTCACTACCATTGAGTCAACACCAAATCACAGCAACCCTGTAGGACAGGGAAGAACTGGAACTGCTCTTGTGGGTTGGTTTCTAAGATGGTTTCTCTTCAAAGGCTTGTTCTTATTCACTGCTATATTGACTTACTGTTAACTCTCTCCATTATACTGACCAGGACAATATTCCTCTTTTGAACTGATATATTTCATTTCTAGAAAATAAAAATGACTGGATATTGGTAAAGTATTTATAATTCATATATATCATATAATATTGAATACTTAGTATATTATGTTAGTTGAATTAGCAGAATACATATTAAGTTGGTGTTTAGAACTATAGACAATTGGAAAAATATCTCTACTTGATTTGGGGGAGCACTTACATTTTATTCATTTACTTCTGATGGCTTTACGTAACCTCTGAATCCTGACAACCTTTCCCCTGTAATATTCAGGTGAGCAAGATTTCCACTGTCACTCCTCTGTAGGAATAGCTTTGCTACAAGTTCTCTATTATCAAGAATTAGGGATAAAAGCCTGGACAATGTTAAGCCTGCTAATCAGAATTTGAGTTGTATATGAAGAATGTCCAATTTATGCTGGTTTGAATTCTACCCTTATCAGCATGTTATAGGGAGAAACTTTGCTCTGGCAGGCATGAACTTTATAAATCCTGGAAAACTGATTAAAGAATTACTGATGGTTGTATTCATGAACATTAATTGATTTTTTTAAAAGCGCAAAATGAAATTAAAGTAGATTTTTAGCTATACAAACCCAAGACATTTTTAAATTTGATACTGATGGAACATGTTCTACTGAGGAAAACTATAAGTATTTATTTTACAGCACTGTGAAGCTTAGAGTGAAAATTATGAGACTAAAACAAGAACATTTCTATGAAGAAAGCATATCAAACAGTCCACTTTAAAAAGTGTGTGTGGTCTGTGTGGTATGAGGTTATTAAGAAAGGAAACTCATGGAGTGAATTAGCTTCTATAGTGGCATAGACTAAGATAGACCAGCAGAAAATCTTGGAATATCATGGGAAAGTTGGAAAGACAGTTTAAAGATGGACAGATAGATGAATGGGTAGAGAGCTAGCATGGTTCCACATTCAGAAATGAAATGCGGGGGGGCGGAGGGGGGGGCAGGAATACTAACAGTCTCCCTAAATAGCATGTACCGTATATACTAGTGTATAAGCTGAGTTTTTCAGCAAATTTTTCATCAAGTTTTTGTGGTAAAATTAGGTGCCTCGACTGATATTCAGGTTGGCTTATACTCTAGTATATATGATAAATTATTACATTGTAGTCGATTGTCTAAGGAGCCCTAGTAAAGTAGTGGTTATGTATTGGACAACTGACCACAAGGCCAGCAGTTCAAAACCACCAGCTGCTCTGCAGGAGAAAGATGGGACTTTCTGCTATCATAAAGAGATAGATAGTCTTGTAAACTCACATCTGCAGTTCTACCCTGAGTTGTAGGGGTGACATGAATTGGTATCGACTTGATGGAAGTGAGGTTTTTTTTTTTTTTAGTCTTTTTATCTACAGTTTCCACAAAGTAGTTTACTTTTGTCAAAGTTGAAGGAAAAGTAAAAAGTGATTGTGTTTGGTGCTATTCCCGACATTATTTTATAGAATAAATATCAGAGTATATCGGGTCTAGTGCTGCACCTCTTCATCCATCACTTTTGAAATTGCAGGGAGGTGAGAGCATTCTATATGACGTTTCAATCAGAAAGGTGTATCAGAGAATCTTGGGGCTCATATAGATTCTCCATAGATTCCTGGGAACAAACCATAATTCGTTTAAGAAAGATAGTCATTTATTTTTATTTTCTACTTTATTTTTAAAAATACTAAAACTTTCCTATGCAGTGTACATAATTTTCTGTGTATTGGATTTTTACTGTATTATTATGAGATGCAAAACAGAATATTTATAATTGAAAATAGTCTAAAATGTTATAATTATATTCTAAAATATTGTATTCTTAATATTCTAAAATATTCTAGAATATTTTAAAATGGGTTGGCTTTTAAATTTTTCCCTAAGATACCATAAATAAACAAACAGATATACCAAATTTGGTTATGAAC